CTCTCTCTCTCTCTCTCTCTCTTTATCTATCTATCTATCTCTCTTTCCTCGTCTCTCTCGTGTCTCTGTGTCCGTTATGCCTCTGCCTCTCTCATAATGTTTCGTTATGCTATTATGTCTGTCTATCTCTCTGCCTCTCTCTGTCCCTGTCTCTGTCTGTCTGTCTGTCTGTCTGTCTGTCTGTCTGTCTGTCTGTCTGTCTGTCTGTCTCGATATAGTCGACATCATTTCCCATGTGTTCCTCATCAGGATCACACTGGGTCATATGGTGCGCTCCAAAGTAAACCGGAAGTACGCCAGAGTGGCCGATCTAGGATAAAATTATACTACAAGACTATGGTCCTCACAAAACGGGTTGCAAACAGTGATTTTGTGCTGCTGTGATTCAATCTTTTCTTCAGTATCATAAAAATTGTGAATTTTTGAAAATTAGCTTTTTCACGTCTTGTTGGGTGTTTTGTTTGTTTGTTGTTGTTGGGGGGTTTTTTTTTGGTTTTTTTAAACGTGTTTTGACACAAGAGTTTCATGATAATATGATTGTTACTTTAAAGAAGAGTAAATATATATATAAAGACTAGTTCACTTTCTAATAGAAAGAGTATAATATTTAAAAATATTATGTTCAAGACGTCATGTAAAGCAATCAGAAGAACCCAAGTGAAGAAGAAGAAGGATAAACGAAGGGGAGGGGGAACTTTTCAAAGGTAAATGTTATAACATAAGCAAAACTAGAATGTTTCTGAGTAATCTATGGTTTACTGTAAATCTCCAAGAACCTGCTGTAGAACATGGATTGATATGAAAATGAATTTATAAATCATTCACTAGATCAACGAAAGCTGACGAGCAATGCACTGTCTACGAGCAATGACTGAGAGAAAAAGGATTAGAAGCCAGTGGTCGAATGGAAACTGAAATTAGGAAATGCCCCTTAAAGAAAATGAGGGGAGTGGATTATATAAGTATTTTAAAAAAGGGAACGAAGAAGATCCTTAAACATGATAATGTAAAAAACAAAAAGGAGGCAAAGACATTTTGACGGGAATGGACAACAAAAAAGGGAAAGAGAAGAAACAGAGACAGACAGAGAGAGACAGAGAGAGAGAGAGAGAGGGAGAGAGAGAGAGAGGGAGAGAGAGAGAGAGAGGACACCACAAACAGGCACACATACTAATACACACGCAAACACACACACACACACACACACACACACACACACACACACACACATGAACACTCAGACAGACAGACAGACAGACAGACAGACAGACAGACAGACAGACAGACAGACAGACAGACAGACAGACAGACAGACAGAGTGTGTGAAAGAGGGGGGGTGGAATGAGGAACTTGACGATCTCGTCTTTGTTCTTCTTTTTGCTAACATTATTCTCAGCGCACAAACAGCTGACCAGAAATCATTGTTCTCGATTCTTTGTTACAGATTTAGATCGTTTTGGTGAACCATGGCCCGCACACACACAGACATGACGGTCACCAGACAGGTGGTCTGCGTTGTACTCTTCATCTCCCTGCTCAGTCTACAGCACGTGCCCTCTACCAGTGCTCAGACTTCAGGTAAACACATTCCATATAATCATTGGACAATTGCATTTACGTAGCGTTTTGCAACTATTAATGGAAATGTCTAAAAATTGTCTGTATACACCTTTTTTGTCTTTCATTTATGAGTACTTTGTGAAAGATTTTTATACAATATTTTGTTCATTTCAATTTCAGTGCAATCAAACCTGCTCACAGTACGTCTCCCCCAAATGTGACCGCGATCGCACGAAAAATATAAAGCAGCGATTGATTTCTCAACTTAGTCTCCTAGCCATCGTCCAATCATCTAAACTTTGTACAATTTTGCGGTTACACCTAACGATTTGTCGTATGATCGGCCGATCTCTTAGTTTTTTTCACAATTTATCGTTACGTGTAATCGGGCCATAACACCACAGTCCAAGACAATCATTAATTGTACCAATAAATTAATACTTCTTCCCACTCCCAACCCCTACTCCCCCCCCCCCCCCTCTCGCCTTTGCATTTTTGAAAATATGTTTTAATGGTACTGTCCAAGACATTCACTTGTCTATGACAACCACTTTTCTACTCCACAATGGATATCAGTCTTAGACACTTGCGATTGTAGTTATAGTTTTATCCTTGACTGTTATGAGCCCTCTATTAAAAAATGTTTGTTGAAGCTGAAGACTCTATTAGATGAAGAGTAGACCGTTAAAGAGGTCCTCCAAAGTAATAACATCAACAACAGAAGCCACCCACCTGGCCCATGATCAAAATTTGTACTTTACCTCGGCATCTAACGATATAAGAGAAAGGGAAAAGTAAAGATAAAAAGTAAATAGATTGTTTGAACATACTAAATACAATATCATAAATACATTTAAATGGGAGGGGGTGAGAGACACTTGGTCTCCCCGTTAAGACGCTAGGCAGAAGAAAAAAAATTCCAAAATGGATGATTTATAAAATGTTCGTCTTGTTCATATCAACGATTAAACAGTTCAATGTTTGCAAAAAGGGTCAGAGAGAGAGAGAGAGAGAGAGAGAGAGAGAGAGAGAGAGAGAGAGAGAGAGAGAGAACTCCAGTGTCTGCGAGCTCAGGATCATAACAACACTGAGCATTATTATATTGATGACACAGAGGTGAGGTGGATGGTCGCTGGGGAGTGGGGGTTGACCTTGAGCAAGTAACGGTAGCCTGCGCCCAAAAAACAGGAACTGCTTTGCGGTGACCAGAAACTGCGTGTTGATTAATATCTGTACTCGTGTGAATGTGTGTGCGACATGACGTTAATAATTAAAAACAAATAGCATTTGTGTAGCGTTCATCACCGCTTGTCAGCAAGCTATATGCGCTTTACACTATATTCCCACCCCAGCAAACCAGAGAACACTCAGAAACATTCTCAGTTCGTTTATATATAATTGTATGTGCTATTAATGTTTGCATTTATTACTTGGTGAGTGTATTTATTTGTACATGCATTTATGCTTCCAAGGAAGTTAAGGTTGTTTCTGAATGCTCTCATGTCTGCTGAGGTCATAGTATAGATTGTAACGCGCATAGAGCTTGCTGTTGAGCAGGGATTTGCGCTATACAAATGCTATCTATTATTATATATGTCTGTATATATGTATTTATGAAGTACCTGCATACATAATATTGCATGATTTCGAGAAACAAAATGCCCTGCTGCGATCAAGAATTATGCTCTTTTTCTCATTTTCTGTTCACTCTGCTCCTTTCGCCAGACCTCAGGTGTGTGGACAGGTGTAACAGGATCTACAAGTACTATTCCCGCTTTTTGCCAACGGCCCCCATCATCCGAGATACGTGTCTAAAGGGCTGTCAACGTACGTTTTTGTTGTGCTGTAGCTGTTGTTGTTAACATTAGTGCTAGTGTTATGATAATCATTATAATTATTTTGTCGTTGTTATCATTACCAATACTGCTGTTGTGATTATTACTATTTCTGTAAATATATAAAAAGCACTATTATTGCTTTCATCCCCATCGCCATCATTAATTTTAGTGGTAATGTTGTCATTGATGAAGTAGTAGTTGAAATTTATTAAAGATTGCGTACGGGTGTCCCTCATAATTGCCTCATCATCATCATCATCATCATCATCATCATCATCATCATCATCATCATCATCATCGTCGTCGTCGTCGTCGTCGTCGTCGTCGTCGTCATCATCATCGTCATCATCATCATCATCATCATTTTCTTTCAGAAGAAACGTTATTAATATATATAATATTGTTATCATTGGCCTATACCTTTAAGATTGCACGTGATATACTGATAACATTGTATTATTAATGATGTTAATGATTGTATCTTTAATTTTCTTGCTGTTGTTTCTACCCCGTAGCCTCAAGCACAACAAGAGTGACAACTCTACCTCCAACTACAGCAACAACTACAACAACGTTAAGAACAACACGAAGACCATACAGACCCACCTACAACTATAACACTCCCCCTCCAGCAAAAATGTTGGATCTCGGTAAGGTTACCCCTAGACACATCAATCCATCTATCCATTTATTGAGAATTGTGTGACATCGTGGTGAAATCAGGCGCTCGTCAAAACGGTGAAATAAAAAATATCGGAATTTTTCCTGGTTTTGGGCCTTTCTTGTCTCGAATTTTTTTATTTTTGCTCAACAACTTTTATGTACTTTTAGAAGCACGCTTCTGTGTGGATGTTACAGAAAAGCTTTGATCAAAGGCATAAAAGATGTAAATTTTCTTTGTCCAAGGACAGTCATACTTTTGAAGTCACCAAACTCTGGGAGCCAATTTCTCTCTAATATTGCCTCTCACACCAGGCGACACCCCCCCCCCCCCACCCCCCCACCCCGCCTCGTTCAATCGTAATTCTCGACTTTTTTTCAAGATACATGGGGGTTTTTTTTCACCAAAAGCAAGACAAATGAACAAGTTTTCAGAAGATACTAATAACTCCGCATGACCGAAAATTGACGAGCGCCTGATTCCACTGCATCGTGACACAATTAATTTTTCCTCCAACCAGAATGTGGGTTCCAGCCGCGAAGTGACAGAGGGAAGATCAGGGACGGAGAGGATACAGAAGAATGCGAGTTTCCCTGGGTAGTGGGCGTGTCCTCTTCAAGACGCCGTTTCTGTGGCGGCACGATAGTGGACAGACGTCACATAATCACAGCTGCGCACTGTGTCCGGGAAAAGTGAGGACAATGTTGTGCCTATTTATATTATCATAGTTTAGCGTTGTTGCTGTTGTCATGGTAACGTAGTAGAAGTAGCAGTAGTAGTAGTAGTAGTAGTAGTAGTAGTAGTAGTAGTAGTAGTAGTAGTAGTAGTAGTAGTAGTAGTAGTAGTAGTAGCAGAGCAGCAGCAGCAATAGCAGCAGCAGCAGCAGCAGCAGCAGCAGCAGCAGTAGTAGTAGTAGCAGCAGCAGCAGCAGCAGTAGCAGC